GGCGCCGCGCGGGCCCCCCCCCCCCCCCCCCCCCCCCCCCCCCTTTTTTGCCAACATGTTCTGAGCGCTAAACATGGAACCACGAGTTAGACCCGGCAAGGAGATGCACGCCCAGCGTAGAAAAGTATGAATACGCTAGAGTGCTTTGAGAAGCTGGTTCAAGTAACTATGCCCGCAGCGTCGCCCCGTTGCCGACGCAAAGGCAGACAGACATATCGGATGCCTCGATGGCTTCATCGGCGCCCGCCTTGCCAGCGCCAGGCGGCCTTGCGAAAGCCGAGCCGCCCCCGACTCCCCGATCATCAAGGCAGGCAACAAGGCTTTGATCTCGTCGCTCGTGCGTACTGAAGGTGTGGTTCCCACGTGTGCGTGACGGACAGGGGCTGTTGATGGCGCCAGAGAGGAGAGGAGGGAGGGTGGGCGTGGACGGGCGGGCGACCACTTTTGCCGGATGCGTATCCGATGGCTCACAACTTGCAAGAGACGAGTCGCCGGGGCAGCAGTCAGATCGACCTGAAGAAAGAAATGCCGTCTGCGCGGCACAAGGGACATGTTCAAGGCAACGCGCATCTTGCCCTTCCCACCATGGGGCCCCTCAGGCTCATGCAGCAATATCTTCGAACTGCATAGTTACCATTTTCAGGCACGACCTGCCCATTGTCCAGAGAGGATAAGGTGGAGAGGGCATCGATTCGGGATTGCAGGCGGAACATGTTGCACGGCATCTATTCAGACAACTCAAAATAGCGGCCCAGGTTCACCAGCCACATGGCATGAACAGGCATCTTCGGATCCATAGCCGCGGGTCAGCAAAATTTTTTTCACTTTTGCTCCGAGGACCACGAACCAGTTGACGTCTTTTTGTATTTTTATTTTTAAAGTTGACCCCAGCACATCTTGCTCAACCCTGCCTTGCGGGCGCTGGAGACCGGGCGGTCAACGGTTCCCTCGGGATTCAGCTTTCAGCTCGCGTGTCTCGCTGCGGAGGCCGCTCGCAAATGGCGCATGGCTCGCCGCTCGAGGCAGATTGACGAATGTACGCAGCCTTCCTGGTGATGGAGTTGGCTTTGATGGGGGGTTGTGGGTTTGGTGGATTGCTGAAGCGATCAATTGATGAACATGATGTAATCGCATTCATGTCTGGTGCAAGCTGCCAAGTCAACATTGGTCTCAAACTCCAAGTAGGGCCATGGCACTAGTTGCGCAAGAACAACCTTGAACATAAAGAGTCAAGCCTGGCGGCTTTGGACAAAAGGACAAATGCACGTTCAAGTATAGCCTTCCTTGCAAATAGATGGAATCAAACGGCACGAAACCCCGCATTTGTTCAATGCTCGACGGCTGTTAGCCGTGGCGTCTGGTGCAAGCCATGTCAGCCAGCCCGTCGTTCGTCCCGAGCCTCAAGGTCAAGTCAATGTTGGTCCCGTTCTACATCGCAACCACATTGACCCCATCATGACGAGGCGCGTGCTTGAGCAGCGCCCGGCGCAAGAAGCCCCTCAATGCCGGGGACAAGCTGATGCGGCGCCATTCCCACGGAGCTTCTACTCATTCGGCCTGGGCACCACCATAGACCCTCGCGCAGGACAGGCCGCCTCCAGCCATGCCTCCAGCGGCACCAGGAAGCTCATCTACACCATTGTGAAAGCCGACCTGCTCATCCCCGGCGCCGACGAGCCCGTCCCCGACGCCGCGCTCGTCGCCGAAGCCAAGCTCATCGTCTGGGTGGGCAAGCAGGCCGCCATCCCCGCAAAGTACACTGAAAAGTGTCGCGGGACCTACTCGGTGCCCTACCTGATGCCCGGCCTCTGGGACTGCCACGCGCACCTCCTCGTGGGCGGCGACGACGAAGCGTCGTGGCCGGCGTACATGAGCTTCGTCGCCGGGCAGCCCGTCGCCAACGGCGCACGGCTCGCCCGGCTGTGCTGGGAGGTGCTGCAGCGCGGATACACGTCCGTCCGCGACCTCGCCGGCTACGGATGCGAGGTGGCCAAGGCCGTCGAGGAGGGCACCGTCCCGGGCCCCAACATCTACGGCTCCGGCGCCTGCATCAGCCAGCTCGCCGGCCACGGGGACGTCTTCGCCCTGCCCGCGGGCGACGTGCTGCTGAACCTGGGCGCGGCGCAGGTCCGGCCGGGCCACTTTGCCACGAACCCGAGCTGCATCGCCGGCGGCGAGGACGAGTGCCCGCCTGGCCGTGCGGCTGCAGATCCGCCGCGGCGCGCGCTGCATCAAGCTGCTGGCCTCGGGGGGCGTCATGTCCAGCGACGACGACCCGACGTGCGCGCAGTTCAGCCCGCGCGAGCTGGCCGCCGTGGTTGACGAGGCGCGCCGCTTCAAGCGCTCCGTCGCCGCCCACGTCCACGGCAAGCCGGGCATCGTCGCCGCCGTCGAGGCCGGCGTGCGCACCGTCGAGCACGTCTCGCTCGCCGACGACGAGTGCCTCGGCCTCATCAAGCAGAGGGGCGTCGTGTACGTGGCCACCCGCGAGGCCATTGAGCTGCTGCTTTCCATGGGCGACGAGCTGCCCAGGGTGCACCGGGACAAGGTCCGCCTCGTGGCCGAGCACCACATGGCGGCGTACAAGGCCGCCGTCAGGGCGGGCGTGACCATCGCGCTGGGCACAGACGCCGTCGCCGCCTTGACCATGGCCCGGGAGCTGGAATGGGCCGTCGAGGCTGGGCTGTCGAACCTGGAGGCCATCCGCGCCGCTACGGCCAACGGGCCCCTGACGGTCGAGGGCCAGGCGCCCAAGACGGGGCAGTTGAAGCCGGGGTATGAGGCTGATTTTATCGGCGTCACCGAGAATCCGGTCGCGGATGTCCGGGTTTTGCAGAACAAGGAGAACATCAGATGGGTGTGGAAAGGGGGCAGGATCTTCAAGGGTCCGGGTGTCGGCCCTTGGGGGGAGTCCGCGGCCTGGGCTTGAGGAGAGGAGGTGATAGTACAACACCGCTGACATGGGCTGGAGATGTCTGGTAACTAGTAGTTATGCAGCCATGGGAGCACGGAACAAAAAGGGGCCCCAGGCCATGTCTTACCGTATGAAACGCTTGCTGCTCAAGACACATTCTTCTGTTGGTCTCAGATACGGGAATACGAGCAGTCATACATCATTGGCTAGCGCCTTTGTATTTTTTTCCATCATCTACCAATCGGGATGATTCCTCCAAACGCTTCCGGTAAAAAACATACATCGCTTTAACATTATCCATCTGAGCAAGTTGCCATCAACACCCTAAAAAACATCCGTCACACCATCCACAACAGTCCGCAAGCCCGTCGAGGTAGGGCAGCGCGGTTCCTGGTGTCCTCACGACCGATCGCTGTGGACGCTCTCGACCATGACTTCCGACATTTTTTCCTTTTCCGAGACGCCGTCCCGTTGCGCGTCGAATCTGTCGACAGAGGTAGAGCTAAACTTGCGGGCGCTGATACCATTCTCGAACAGGACATCCAGCTCGGCATAGGTGCGACCCTTGGGCTCGGGAAGACGCCAGTAAGTCCAGATGGCGCACGCGAGGCAGGTGCCCGTCCAGAAGAAGCCGGCCTTGGCACCCCAATTCCACGCGGTGGGATTCAGCATCCGGGGCGTGATGATGTTGGTCACGATGCCAACTATGTTGTAGCAGTTTCGGGCGAGAACAACCGACTTGGTTCGGAGACGGGTGGACGTGAGCTCGGCGACGAGGGAGTAGCAGACGGGGCCGACGGTAGCATCGTACGTAAAGGTGTAGACAAGGAGCATCGAGCCGATTGCCCACTGCGCAGCGGCATTCTCCTTGCCGGCGAAAGCGGTGCAACCAATGGCAAGGAGGAGGATGCACATGATGGTTTGGCCGCCCAGGTACAAGGTTCGGCGGCCCCAGCGGCCCATGAGGAACCATGAGCAGATGGTGCCGACAGCACCAAGCGCGTACTGGCCGAGAGACATGCTGAACGAATTTTCAACTTCCATCCCGGCCTGTTGGTAGAAGTAGGTTGAGTAGCCCATGAAAGTGGCTCCGCAAAGGGTCTGGATCATCCATGTGACGCAGACGATTTCTGTTCGGCGGCGGTTCACCTTGCCTCGGAAGAGATCTACATACGAGATGCCTGCTGTGAGCTCCTTCTCCATCTCGTTGGTATGAACCATCATGGAAATGGTTTCGTCCGGCTGGAAGGAGATGCCGGTGTTGCGGGTGGTCAGCCGCGCCAAGGACTTCTTGGCGTCGTCGATGCGATTGCGGCGAACAAGCCACCAGGGAGACTCCGGGGCGAGATAGATGCCGATAATCAGGGGTATGGGCCACATCCACTGCAGAGCAAAGGGAATCTTGTATCCCCATTTATCGTCTCGGGAGACCATTGCCCGCAGGACGCCAGAGGCGATGAATTGGCCCATGACCCAGCAGAGGTTGACATATGTGGTGAGGTAGGCGCGCAGATGCGTAGGGCACACCTCGGAGGCATATGTCGTGGTCAAGGTCTGGAAGACACCCCATGGAACACCGATGAGCATCTGTCCAATGAGGAGTTGCGTGAGGCTTTCCGCAAAGAAGACAATGAAGATGAAGGCAATGCAGCCCACCAAGGCACCGATGAGTGTCTTGCGGTATCCGAATCTGTCGGCAATGACGCCATTGACGAACAGACCAAAGATTTGTCCCACAAGCGTGCCATTGCTCAGGCCAGCTTGCCAAGCCGCCGTCAGTTGATATGTGCCATCAGGCTGTTCAACTCCAAATTTCTTCTGGAAGGGGGGGTAAGCGAATAATGTGTTCAGCAGCACCATATCGAACCCTTCCATGATAGTACAGGTAGACAGGAAGATGGACCACAGACAGGCTTTCCTGTACAGTTTGAGGGATTTCAAAAGCCCCATGCTTTGCTCCGTCTCGGCGGCGGCTGCTGCTTCATGGACGAGATTTTCGTCCATGTTGCCGCGGTCGACGGAGATTCTGCGAGGCTGTTCCCCGCCCTGGTGTTTGGTGGGAGAAGACATGTTGGAGTATTATGCTTCTAGTCAGCTTCCACCAGTGGTATGGGTTGACGAGGCAGATATGCCCTTGGGTAGCGTATATGATTGGTATATTGGGTTGGGAGAGGAGATCAAAAGAAGATGAGTCTGGTATTTGAGAGCCAACAAAAGCTTAAAAGTGAAGGAGTTGGGCGGCCATGATCCGATGCATTATGAATTCATCTCTTGATAAGCCGACGACAGACCGGCCTCCCTTTATAACCCATGACGTTCGAAGACGAAGGAAGTTGAATTGTAAATGGGGTTTTTGCTGGCAGGTCCATTTCACAACAGAGCCGGGACCCCAGACAGAAGCCGGCTCCTTCGCTCCTTGCCAATAGCGTGAAGCCACTTGGACCCATACACCGTAACACGCCCCTGAACCTGACAAAGGGCGAGAGTTGTGACGGACTAGCCGATGCTGTCCCCAGTTACAAGCTCCAAATGGTAGCCCAAGCCGTGCCATTGAATTTGTTCAAATCACCCAGGTGGCGATGGTGGTGGTGTTGGTGGTGGTGGTGGCTGTTGAGATTATGTCGTCGAGTTGCCTACATCATCAACGTCGACAAGATGTCAACTGCCAACCCAAGCGCTTCGAAAGATTTTCTCCTCGGGCCGGCTGCAGGAAATTGTAGCCATTGGCTCAATTGAATCCCCCTCTCCAGAAAAGGTGATCAGGCGACCACCGTACGTCTGGGGCCCCTGGATGGGGGATCCACAACCGCATTTGGTCGTACAATGATGTTGAAGTCGGAACATCGGCCATCGAATGTTGATTCCAGTTCTATGTGAGGTGAGGTCACCTCCTCCATCCCCGGATTGACCTCCCCATGGGGATGTCAGTTCAATTTGGTGGATCTGGATAATTAAGCTTGTTGTCTTCCCATTAGGTCAGTGATCCTAGTTGTGAGAAATAGGTAGTACCCTTTGTCGTCGGTCCGACAGGGTCGCCGGAGGATATTGTTGTTTTCGGATTGGCTTGGCGTTGGATTGCGCCAAAAACAGGTGAGAATGGGGCATGGTGTCCATACCAGTAGGATTGTATCCTAGTACGGAGGTACGGTATTTGCGTTTCTAAAGTGGTCTGAGTTGTTTGTTCAGCGACTCCATCCGTCACCCGATTTATCAAAAGCAATCGAGTCGTCATTCCATACCGAAGCAAAGTGCTTACTCAAGTCGTGGCCTGTAAGGGCGTTGTCCTTTGTAGCTCGAAGGAATGCCATGTCGCTTCATCTCTAGGACTGTGAATAAAAAGGCAACGCACCTTGGCCGATGTCATTCGCGGCTGTTCTCTCGGCCAAAGCAGGCGGGAACTCGCCAGCACTAGAATCTTCCCTAGTCCCTGAGATCTTAGTGGGATCGCCAAATATGGTTCTCTCGGGTATCATACCACAAATCCAGACCTCCCGTGCCGGTTGCTTGATGTACACCATACCCAGCCATCAAAAAGCCATGGCAATTTCATACCACTCCTAGCGTGTCTCTCTGATGTTGGACGGCTGAAGGCTTGGATGGCACGGCACTCGCTAGCACCAGCATAGTGAGCCACCTGCATGGCTTTATGTCTTCGTGGCTGCATGGCCGGGCCGAGTTGAAAAGGGAATTCTGGGCTTCGAGAAGACCCGCATGGCGAAAGCCATGGAATGCCGGGCCGACAACGGACCAATGACATCCGTCAGAAGTGGTGGTGGCCCCGCCGGTCCTCTTGCCTGCTTGGCACAATCGTCTCGCACTACTCCGTGATATTGGGAAAACAAGTTGTGTTGAATCTCAAACTACATCCCACGTATACATGAAGCGTCGTCTGGCAGTGCCAATTATGGCAATTTCCCAGATCACGATAAAGCCACCATGCGACGTCAGTGCCACTGTGACACTTACCCCAGATTTCCCCGCATGAATGCTCGAAACCGTCGGTCCGACAAAGCGGTGTTGTGCCCATGACGAAGCTGGAGGACCCCATGTGACGAGATTTATAATGCCGCTCTTGGTGTTTCTATGGTTGGGTCACGGTGGTCATTCTTAACAAATTGGCACGAGCGGTCAGTCATCCATAAAACCGTATTTCTGGAGTTCGCTCACTTCTATACCGAAGTGTCCTCTTCCCCACCTGGTATATTCACGATGCTTGGGGATTTAAGAGGAAACTGCCTCTGTCCTGTCCGGTACCCAACTCTCTCCCCCATTCTCATCTTTGCATGTCATTTACGTCCGGTTTCTTTATTCCAAGTTGCAGGAGGCACTTTGCATTAGAACAGAGTGGTACACAAGACTCTGACCTTGCAGCCGTTTGCATTCCTGCATTTTATCCGATTCACGGCCATCATGACCGTCATTTCCCGTGAGAAGAAATGGTGGAAGGAGGCCGTTGTTTACCAAATTTACCCAGCCTCCTTCTGTGACTCCAATGGCGATGGCATCGGTGATTTACCCGGCATCACCTCCAAGCTTGATTACATAGCCAGTCTGGGCATCAACGTGATTTGGATCTGCCCCATGTACGACAGTCCCCAGGTAGACATGGGCTACGATATTTCCAACTACGGAGATGTATACAGGCCCTATGGTACTGTTCAGGACATGGAAATCCTCATCCGCGAGACCCACGCCCGTGGCATGCGAATCATGCTCGACCTCGTCATCAACCACACCTCCGACCAACATGCATGGTTCAAGGAGTCTCGCTCCAACAGGAACAACCCCAAGAGAGATTGGTACATCTGGAGACCCGCCAAATATTCCCCCACTGGAGAGAGACTCCCCCCAAACAATTGGCGATGCAACTTTGGTGGCGGTAGTGCCTGGCAGTGGGACGAGCAGACGGGCGAGTATTATCTGCACCTGTTCGCCACAGAGCAGCCTGATTTGAACTGGGAGAACCCTGTCGCCCGAGACGCCATCTACAAATCGGCCATGGAGTTCTGGCTCGACCGTGGTGTCGATGGTTTCCGCGTCGACACCGTCAACATGTACAGCAAGCCGGATGGTCTGCAAGACGCACCCGTCGTGGATCCCAAGGCCCCCTTCCAGCCCGCCGGGCTCTTGTACTGCAACGGGCCTCGCATGCACGAGTTCCTCTCGGAAATGAATGCCATTCTCGCGCGGTACGGCGCCATCACCGTCGGCGAGCTTCCCAACACGCCTGACATGGCAAAGGTGTTGAAGTATGTCAGCGCCAAGGAGAAGCAGCTCGACATGGTGTTCCAGTTCGACGTTGTCGACACCGGTTTCGGAAAGACGCACAAGTACGAGACCACACCGAAAAACTACACCCTGCCCGACTTCAAGGCCGCAGTGTCACGAACTCAAGGACTCATCCACGGCTCTGACGGCTGGACGACCGTCTTCCTAGAGAACCACGACCAAGCGCGGTCAGTATCCCGCTTCACAGACGACAGGTCCGAATATCGCGTGCGAGGAGCCAAGATGCTCGCCCTCATGGAGTCGTGTCTGAGCGGCACGCAATACGTCTACCAGGGCCAAGAAATCGGCTGCGTCAACGTCCCCACGGACTCGTACCCTCTGGAGGACTATCTCGACATTGACAGCTGCCTCTTCATCAAAATGACCAAGGAGCTCCACGGCGCCGGCAACAAGGCGGAACTGGACAAGGCGTTCTCCGCCCTGCAGCACCTGGCCCGCGACCACTCGCGCGTCCCCATCGCGTGGAACGGCAAAGCCAAGTTCGGGGGCTTCTCGGAAGCCGCCGAGAAGGCAGGGCTGCAAGTCAGGGAGCCTTGGATGAAGCCACACCCGCTGGCGGGCGAGATCAACGTCGCGTCACAGCTAGACGATCCAGAGAGCGTGCTTGCATTCTGGCGCAAGACGCTGCGTTTCAGAAGCGAGCATGCTGACTTGCTTGTGTACGGCGACTTTAGAGATTTGCGGCCCCAGGACAAGGATCTGTTTGTGTTTGTGAAGGAGCATCCGTGGGGAGGTGACAAGGCCGTTGTCGTGTTGAACTTTACTACCGACGAGAAGAGGGTGGAGATGCCGAGCGCAGAGGAGCTTGGTGTGCGGGCAGTGAATTTCGTGCCGGTTCTGTCTACGCACAGCGGAAAGATTAGGGAGGGTGTTTTGGCGCCCTTTGAGGGGCAAGTATTTCTCGTTGGCGTCTGATGGGTGGGGTTTACTAGAGTTTTAATTGATGCATAAGATATGCCGGTATGGACAAAAACTAAAGTATAGATGATGGGTCTAGCATGATACCGGGTTGTCGGTTACGAATTGGGAAAGTAGCAGGATCGTGTTGCGAATTCTAGATGATTTGCATGTATTGCGTAGCGCATATCAAACTTGGCAGCAAGCCCAAAGACGCAATTGGCCATGGGACTTGGTGCAATGTTATTTTCAAGGCGACAAGTGCGGCGTTGTGCATATAACTTCGGGCTAAGCTTCTGGTAAGAGGTGTCTACTACTCTGCCAGATTGCACTGCTGCAGGTTTACCGTGATATATACAAGGCGGTATATTTGACACGCAAGTCATACCAGCACCGCGAAGCAGTATCCCTACCGTTCATGAGAGACCACATTCGAAAGGTACCTAGGTAGTTTACCGTCCAGGCTCACAGCCCTTGCGTTAGATTCCCGACCATCGTAGTCAAGGCCAGTTGCACCATTCCTCGCTAGGTGCAATATCAAGTCTAAATGTCGATTGAGGAGATATATATACTTATTGATCGGGGATGCGCATTGCCCAACGAATCCAAGCAGTCTAACGGCAGTGTATCACATCCGATATCGCATTCGTATCCAATAGCCCAAGCCAATCCCAACACTAAACAAGTCCAAAATACATTCTTTCGCTAAATACTTCAGTTTCATGGCCATTCATCACGTCATCGCCCATCAGTCCTTCTTCTTGCCAAAGCCATCCATCAAGGCAGCGCTCAAGGCAGCCGTTGCAACTTTGGCGCCCTTGGACCCCAGCCACGGATTGGGGTCGTTGCGATTCTGCATCGCGGCCTGCGCTCCAGCGGCAAATGCCGTCCGCGCACCGGCCTGGATGAGGGGATTCTGCCACCAGGCATGCTTCTTGGCTTTGTCCGCCGTCGGCGCAGGGGCAGACTTGCGTCGCGAAGACGAAGAGGGATTGCTCGCGGGAGCAACAGCGCGGTCACGGCCACGGGCAGGACTCACGTCCCGCTTGTGGGAACGCTCGTGAGATCGCGCCCGACGGTGGCGTTTGCCGTCGTCGCCGCCGTATCCGGGGGCGGGGAAGTCTCGAGCTCGGGATATCGGTTCCGGCGAGACAGGTCGGGACTTGTGAGAGCGGCCTTCGCGGCCGCGGGATCTGTACTCTGGTGGCGGGGACGCTCTGTCCCGTCGAGGGCGATATTCGGGCTCCTCGCGATGTGAGCGGCGCGGTTTGTCCCGGGGGCTGGCGTAGTCCCGCGGCGGTGCGTAATCGCGGTCGAAGCTTCGCGGCACGTCTCGCTCCGGTCGAGAGTGGCGGGGTTCCCTCCGTGAATCTTTGCGAGGCTCGCGAGGGGTCGGCTCCGGAGGATAATACGGTGGAGGACTCCTTGGACGCCGCCCGCTGCTGCCGGGTTGCGTCATGCCTCTTGGCTCGGGGGGTTCCTTGCGAGAATAGCCCCGCCGCGGGGGGTACGCGTCTTCGCCGTACATTGGGATACCGTCGGGACTGCGACGGCGGTGTCTCTCGGATTTGTGTCGTCGGGGCGGAGGGCCAGCGAATCGATCGTCTGACGGAGGAGGATAGTACGCGTCGTCGTAGCGGTCACGACGGGGATACGCCATTATGTGTACTTCAAGTGGTGAGATAGGTTCGCAGCAAGATGTGCGTAAATGATTATGCAAGGACGCTCAGAGACGAATATCGGAATGAACAAACAAAAACCAACTGCGCTGGTGCGGAGTAAAACGGCGAGGACGGTATATAAAGGATATGGAGGTGCCCGTTCCAGAGTCACGGCTCAAACCGCCGATCAACAACGGCAGCTATCATGCGATCCACAGGGCAAGTGGCTGAAGGGGCGAAACATGGCCAGGCACCACATGCCACACCTTTTGTTGGTCGAGAACGCAGAGAGGGTGTCAGACGCGATCGGAAGTTGCAGAAACGGGGATTGGGCAGAGGCTGAAGTGGGAGGCAAGGAGGGAGCCTGTCTTGCCTGTCAGCCTGTGTCGCTCGTTTGATGCCCGTGGGATTGACCGGTTGATGATCAAGTGCTCCCAGGTTTGGCGTCGGAGCTTCAAGGGGCGAGAGGCCGCCTGACGTCACGGGAGCCAATGAGCGGTGTGGCATACAGCGTGTCATGCAGCGCCGCCGGACGGGCCCCAAGATTGCTGGGCCTGGGGGAGCGGCGCGGGCGCCCCAATCATCTGACGTCAAGGACATCTGGGCATCTAGACATTTGCATCTTGGCCAAATAACAGCATGTCAAGGAATGGCACAACGCGCCCGCGAGAGAAGACCGGCCCGAGCTGCGTCTCCGGCCTAACCTGAATGGTCGCGCTGTCCGAAGTGGACCAGTTGACGTTTGTTTGTCGTGGCCACCAGGCCGGCCATCGCACCACTCATCACACGAGCAAGGTTTTGTACACTTGGAGAGTTTAGTCGGCACCTCCCGTTTCGGGGTCCTTCGAAGCAGACTTCTTTAGCATCCATTTCCAGTCCCGCTGTGGCTGGAAACGGGACCCCAGTTGTCAAGATGTCGGGACATTCCCATCGGTGCCTACGAGTGCCTACGTACCTAGGTAGTTACCTAGGGTAGGTACATGTAGTTATTTTACCTACTTGACTCATTGCCAAGCACCAGCAGCTCCGTGCGATACAACTTGTAGCCTATTACGGTCACGCTCGACCACAGATGGCTTACCCTCCTCTGTCCAGCATAGCTTCATCATTAGAAAACAATGTACTACTCGTATCCCAACTTTTGTTTTGCAAAGGCCTAACACACATCGAGCTCGTTTCCACACAACCACATCATGGCTTACCAAACACTGACAGTGGACGGCTTGTTCTCTGCATGGCCGGAATTCCCTCCCATGTGATAGATGCTGTTAGATTTCATTTACTCGACACTCGCGAAACAACATGCACACAGACAAATGCACCATGCCTAGACCCTCTCCGATTCTGTGAGAGGCACTGCGGCGTTTCGCATGTTTTGCAGGGTTTCCCCCCAGGGCTGGACTGTACGGACAAAGAGCCATCGGACCGAATTGGCTACACCACCAGGGTCTGTTCGTTGCAAGTTGCTGTTGTGAAGTGTCGTCATCGCATTGAGTCCAGGTCTCGCTGGATGGAGAGACTCTGAACACTCTGAAAACATTAGACGTTTCCAGGTAATTATCTTGTCATGTTTTTCCGATGGCTTCGTCCTGCGGGACACCAAGAAAAAACCTTATCTAATAATGGAACATTAACCAAGCTTACCAGACACAATGTTCAAAAATTGACAAAGAACAGGCGTTGAATCGGAGCCATGTCGACGCAAGCTTGCTACTTGTTCACTCTCCATCATGGGCAAAAAAGTCTCGCTGACGACTATAAATTTGCCGCCCCGGCCCTGCATTTCATAGAGCAATCTACACCTCTTCCACACTCTTCCACATCAAAAATCCCTACTGCGTCTAACTCCAAATCCCCCCCCGAATCCATTAGCGCTCATCCCAAGCCTATTAGGGGGGGCGCAATCTTCCGACTCCTACGCCGACACCCAAACGCCATACCACAACTATCGGTACACTCATCATGGCTACAGGGCAACCCCATAATCGAAAACGATCTAGGATTGAGACCACTAATTTCCAGAGGCTTCAGCCTGATTTCGCTCGTACAGGCGACGCGGATACAGTCAAAGACCTCGTCGAAAATGGAGCCAATCCCTTTAAAACACTTCATCCTTGCCGCCAACACTTTCCAGGGAAGGCCTATCAGAAACTCAATGCGGATAATAATCGAATCGGCTCCAAGAGGAGGACCAGCCGTATGACTGCTCCTCTAAAATATGAGGCGTCCAACCCCAATGGCTATACTGTCCCTCCCTTCCGTGGCAGAAATCATGTGACAACAGTCCAACAATCACCGTCTGGCAGGGCGTGGACTCAAGAAGAACGGCCAGGGGATTATTCTGCTTCAGGTCCAGAAGAACCTCGAGGCACATCTCCAAATACGGAGGACCAAAGTCTGAATAATTATCCTTTCATGTTCCGTCTTCCAATTCCTGAGTTAAAAGTCGACCCTCCTCCCCCTGGCAATATATCAAGCAAGGAAATACCTCCAGGAGGCCCTAGGATTTGGGTTTATTCCTTTTCAGGTATAGAAGAACTTCGGGACACACCTCCGTATACCGAGAACCCAAATTGGGATGATCTGAATTTCGATGCTCTGAATCTTGATGCGGGCGACAACGAAACCGGCGACAACGAGGCCGGCTCTCCAACCATAGATCGTGTTCGTCATCAAAACCGCAATTGGGGCTTCTCTGAAGTTGCATCTACTAGTCCTGTATCAATGAGGGTACCGCAGCCAGGGCGACATCAATTTCGTTGCTCCGATAACAGCCACGGGAGGACTTCTTGGCGTGGTGTTGATGATACGACGATCAATGCATAACGAAGCTATTTACAAGGCTTGGTACGCTGTGGGAGGATCAAATTGGGTCTGGTTGGCTAGGTTATGATGTATCACATGACCCAATACATCAGCGATATTGTTATGTCGCGCGCTCATGAGGGTGATTGGAGAGGTGTGCCTTGATGTCAAAGGTTTTGACGGAAATGGGTTGCCCTTTTTGGTGTGACAGCCCAGGTGTGGTGCAGGTGATGTGACGCAATACACGCCGGGCGAAGAGGAATGTGCCTGCTCGACATCAAGGTTATACTACTGTTTGGAAAGAAGATCAAGATTCTTGGGATCGGTCTGTGAGCTTTCAACAAGCCGCAACGCAGTTACTTTTTGTTATTCTATCGGTGGGCAGTCCACTATGGCTATAACATACATATGGGCTCACCCTCGTTGTGTCAGAACATGTGACTGATATACCCCGTTTCTGGTTTCTCTTGCGTAATAGATCAGGAAGATGCTATTTATACCGCCGTCCAGCTTCGTCACCCGATTGTGTCCGGGTTGGGTCGATGAGGTCGATGAGCTAGTAGTGTCATGCTTTAAACCATGTGTTCTTGCAGACTGGCCGACATAATCACGGTGCCTTGCTCTGCCTTACAACTCAGCAAAAGTGCCTGGAGTACATAGGAGATTAGCAGTCCACATGCGGACTTGTCACGGACTCTCCCGTCACGACTTTAACCCAATAGCGACACACGGATCTAGATGCTGGGGCTGTCGTCCGTGTCGAGAAAGCCCTAATGCGTGTCTCTCCCCACCAATGTGATGAGATCCGCCATTGGAAATCAGAAGCAGGAACGAAATGACAATAAGAGCGTAGTATGCCGGTCTCCGCGGTGGGTTTCACTAATAAGTAGACTCGACGTCCCGCAAAAAATTCAGGTTGCACTCTGACCAGGCACTTCATCAGCGGTGAGAAGCTTCACTCCCCATCTTGCGAGATATCAATGTTGTGCTTGAGCAGCTGCTGGCAACTACGAGCTGCAAACTGGCGCAAAGGGAAGGTGCGTGTTGGCACCTACCTCGGCTGCACAGGCACCAGACAGCAGCATTCGAACGGCCAGTTGAACTCCAACACAAGCATTTGTCGTCATCCCGGAACATCTTTGTTCGAAGATTGTAATTTGTCACGGCTAGTCCGCAGTCGAGCGCAGCCATCAACAAAGCCAATGGCATATCAAGACCAATGTCAAGCGTCAATAGTCTCTATTCGACTGCACCAATCAGTCCTGCCCGCGACTCAATCAACAAGGCTATCGGCTTCTAGCGATGTGAGTATCCACCTGCAGATTCGACCAGACATTACCCTCGCAGCCCTCGCGCCATCCATCGGGAGCCGCCGCAGTCCTACGGATCGTCAGCCAATGTAGCGAGAGCATCACCCGCCTTCTCGTCTATCTGAGGTTATCACTTGGCTTCCCGCCTCCACAAAAGCCTGTTCTATTGTTGGTAATTTATAGATCAAGGGCTTGGCTCACAAAATCGTGACAGATCCCTGGAAAACGCGGGGTACATGATGTGGCGTGGAAGATATCGACTGTGTAGGTTCGTTCAAGCCGTCTTGATAACCAATATTGGTTTGTCACCATGTATCGCTTACGAAGGAAGCTGAAGTTGGCCTCAATCCGCTGCCAACGTCGTCACCGGGGTTGCGCGTTCACAACAGACTGGACTCATCTTCGACCGTCGGCAAGGTCATCTTACCATTGTTAGGATGGCAGACTTTATTCTGTGTTTAACCCAACATGCCGGCCGGTTGCACAGCAGCCCTAAACACCGGCCAACAGACAGCCGCAAGCTAAAGGGTATGTATGGACTTTGAGCTTTGTTCCGATCTCTTCCCCTACAATTGGAAATCAGCCCTCGCCCTTTCTCAAATTGGAACCAGGCACGCCGACCCTTGCAACCCCACAGCCTTTTTAAATTGCTCGCGTGGCGGGCAGGTGGAGCTTAAGATAGTGGCACCCAGTCAAAAGCTGTCTTGCAGCCGTTATCATCATTAGTGTCCACATGCAGTAACGATTCTCGGACCTGGCCGTCGCTTGGCTGAGAGCCACACGCAAAAAATCTTCATCCCTTCGAGATTCAGGAACGGAGACGGCCTAAACGAGGCATTGCATGGAAAATTGCATCATGTCTTGCAAGCGAACCGGCAAGAAACAGGTCATTAGGCATGTAGAAAGGCAGGCGATACAGAACGTCAGATATTAAGTCGCAGCGCAGGGTCGTGCTCCGAGCCTCCGGGCCATGACATTGAATCAGTGGCTGGCTTGTGGTGATTGGCGCGGCAACTTTGCCTTGAGACCATCTCGTACCCGTCAGTCTCACATTTCTGGCTGAGCTATAACCGCCAACGAGACTCACCGACGCCGTTAGCCGTGTCTACAAGTCAAAGGTTAGATTCGATACAAATTGAAGATGAAAAGATCAATGATAGGAGAGAGTCGGAAGACCCTCGAAGCCGGACTGTCACTGTTAAAGCTAGCCCACCCTCTTGCGTGCCGACCGCGGATCATCCACACACACCCCATTTTCATGCAAGTTAGTTAGTTGGAAACTTTTTTTATCAGTAATGAACTGGCCAGCCTGCCTTTAATTCCCACACACCTCTTGTCTGAACTGTTACTTGTTTTCTGCCGCTTCTCTAGTTGCACGGCACACATTATTCCAAGTCCCTATCTCAAACCACTTCCGTCCAACTCTGGCCCAGTTGTGCTACTCCAAACTTCCATAAAGCTTCCTCATGGTCCTCTACTACTAGCTTCCTTCATCTCCACTCGGAAAAATCTCGATTGCCACCCACCTCTTCGACCCTGGATACTGAGATTACCGTGTTGCTCGACTCTCTTTTCTGTAATCCTCCTCTCCGCATAGAGAAACACATTCGTTTCCCTACCGGCTGACTACGCTGCGCATTCGCTGGGCTGTTTTCGATGCAATTGGCTTTCCGCATGGTGTTATAGTCTAGCCTATTTTCACTCAAGCTTTCCGAGCGCCATGGGCTGGATAGAAGATGTCAACGTCAAGGTGGCGACCAGCGTCGTTGGAAAATGGTTTCGCCTCGACGGCAGTGGCCATGTAGGTCTTCTCCTTTTCATAACCACGTTTCTCACCTTGTACTCTGTTTCAGGCAATGCGTGATGTCTCATGTATTCCCATTTTGGGTCGCGCCATGCAGGTTCCCGACTGTGGGGGGTCCAAGTTTGAAGTTTGAGTTGAGATATGATATCACATATTCTCCAGTGTACATCACAGCTAAAGACACTTTTTACGCAAGTTTTGGCGCTCACTATGGTTTTCATTACTAGCCCAGGGAGAGGAAAGGATCCTATTTCCTCACAGAACTGCGTGCCGGGATGACCACCTTCTTCGCCATGGCGTACATCATTGCCGTCAACGCCTCAATCGTATCGGATTCCGGCGGTACCTGCGTCTGCCCTCACACTGCTGCAGACCCTACTTGCGATAAAGACGCAGACTACATGCTTTGCACCCAGGATATCAAGCGCGACATTGTGACGGCCACTGCTGCCATATCGGCACTATCGTGCTTCTGCATGGGACTCTTTGCCAACTTGTACGTCACTAGGGATAAAACTGGTGACTGTTGCGCTGCTGACCATGACACACAGGCCGGTTGCTCTGGCGCCAGGAATGGGTACGCTGACCAGCACTCAAACACGGCAGGCCATTTGCTTCGTCGGGTATATGCTAATGAGACGTCTGTTTAGGCTTAAATGCTTATTTTGCCTACACAGTCGGTAAGTGGTGCAAAATCGGATGCTCTTGTTTTGTGCCTGTGCAACCGCTAACTTGGTTGTACATAGTTGGCTATCATGGCACCGGCCTGGTCCCGTACCGGGTAGCCCTCACCGCCATCTTCGTCGAAGGTTTCATCTTTCTCGGTCTTGCCATCCTCGGACTGCGACAGTGGCTTGCCAGAGCGATTCCCCACTCCATCAAGGTGGCCACGGGCGTTGGTATTGGCTTGTACCTGACTCTGATTGGACTCACGTACAGCGAAGGCATTGGTGTCGTCGTTGGAGCCACCGCGACGCCTGTGGAACTCGCGGGATGCTCTCCTGAGAATCGCCTTGCCGATGGCACATGCCCCAGCTGGGACAAGATGCGCCACCCTGCCATGTGGATTGGAATATTCTGCGGTGGAATCTTGACTGTGATCCTGACCATGTTTCGAGTCAAAGGTGCCATTATTATCGGCATCCTTCTCGTCAGCATCGTTTCGTGGCCTCGCACGACACCGGTCACCTACTTCCCCTACACCGACGTCGGCAACAACTCGTTTGACTTCTTCAAGAAGGTCGTGACTTTCCACCCCATTCAGCACACGCTCAATGTCCAGGACTGGAACGTTTCCGAATACGGTGGGCAGTTTGGCCTCGCCCTCATTACCTTCCTTTACGTCGATATCCTCGATGCCACCGGCACGCTGTACTCCATGGCCCGGTTTGCCGGCCTCATGGACCCTGTGACGCAAGATTTTGAGGGCTCGGCCGTTGCATACATGGTTGACGCGCTGTGCATCTCCGTCGGTGCTGTCCTCGGTGTTCCTCCGGTCACGGCGTTTGTCGAGTCCGGTGCTGGCATCTCCGAAGGTGGTAAGACGGGCTTGACATCCATGGCTACTGGTCTCTGCTTCTTCATCGCCGTCTTCTTCGCTCCCATCTTCGCCTCGATTCCCCCCTGGGCCACGGGCTGTGTTCTTATCCTCGTCGGATCAATGATGGCCGGTGCCGTTCCCGAAATCAACTGGAAATACATGGGAGATGCCGTCCCCGCCTTCCTCGCCATTTGCCTCATGCCTTTCACGTACTCGATTGCCAATGGCTTGATCGGCAGCATCTTCTCGTACATCATCATCAACGTCACGGTGTGGCTGGTCAAAAAGCTGTCCGGCGGACGCATATTACCGTCCAACATGGACGAGCAGGAGAACTGGACGTGGCGCATCCCCGGAGGCTTTCTTCCCCCGTGGTTGGTTCGTCTGGGAAAGGGCCAGAAGGACTTTTGGCGGGAGGATCCGCCGCCCACCGAGGCTGCCGTTCAGCACAAGCTCAGCTCCGACGAGCAGGGCTCGGATGCCGGGCCAGAGGCTAGTAATCCTTTGCAAGTGGCCCCGGTCAAGGCATAGAGCTGCGGTAATTTTGGGGGGTTTTCTTTTTTTTGGTATTTTGCTGACACGATTGATGACGAGTGGAGTTTGTGCGTTTCGTTGGATGCTTAAAATACGAAGGTGGAAACAAAAGCGGTGACGATTGCCTGGACGGTTAGGTGTGTGGCATTGAATAGGGCGTTTATGCAACGACAGTCATATAGCGAGAAAGATTCCATCTGCTCATCTTGTGTAATGCTATAACGTTTCGCCGACACATGGGGTGAACCACTGCCGTGGTGCTTCGTGCTTACACGGACATTACTAAAATGATGACTTTTACTCGCCTTCAAAAGCAGAGAAAAAAAAAAAAGTGCTAAAATGGATTGGTATCTGCCCGCCATTTGTCGTCTCGTCGTGAGCATACATGCGTCTACGCCATCAAAGCAATATGTTTCAGTTCCCTGCAGCACGTTAGCAGTCTCCCAAGGCAAACACCCCTTATGCCACGCCGCCTCGACTCACCCCTCGACTTGATGTCCCACCTTGGTAGGCGGGTAGGTAGCCTCCTCGCCCTCGTCCCTCCCCAGCAGCCGCTGCTCCTCCCTCAGCCTCCTCGCCCTGGCGGCCAGCTCGGGGACGGGGGCCAGGTCAAAGTCGGAGTTGAGGTGCCAGAAGAGGGTGCTCGAGATGCGGATCAGCGGCCTGCCGGGCAGCTCCCTCCTGCGGCGCTCGATGGCCTCGAGGGTGCGCTCGTTGACGACGACCTCGTGGTACCCGGCCTTGATGAGCCCGCCCGTCGCGTGCTCGAGCTGCTTGCCCGCCTGGACGAGGAGGTGGTTCCCGGGGGGGATCTTGACGGCCAGCCGGTCGCCCGTGTTGCGGGCCCAGATGTTGAGCCCCGGGTAGCGCGAGCGGCCGTGGATGGTGAGGAAGTTGAGGTCCGTGTGGAAGCCGGCCAGTATGGTGTCCCTTTGCGCGTGCCTTGTCAGATCCGACGCCGTGGGCGCGAGGAGGTGCGGGCTGTTGGATTGACACCTGTTAAAATGCTGAACGGGAAAAGGGGGGGGGAAGAGACGGACCCGTATGCGCCGGCGTCGCTAAAGTATGTTGCTGGGAGGCCGAGGCCCACGGCTGTCATTTCAGATAGTTTCGACACACTGCCTCTGGTGAGTCGGATACTTCGAAAACGGGAAGGGGGGTTTGTACGGACGCGTTCTTCATGCAGGTGCCCCATTTGTCCATGGTGGGCGCCCAGCGCTGGCGGATGGCGTCGGCCTCGGGGACGACGTTGGCGGCGTTGAGGCCCGGGAACTGCGTCTCGTAGGGCGGCGGCTCGGCCATGCGCCAGAAGAAGCGGCATTTCGGGTCGGGCTGGTGGGCAGAGATGTCGAGCGGGCGCTGCGAGGGGTGCAGGCGCCTGATGACGTCGAGGCAGGGCTCGTCGACGGCGCACTTGGGCTTCTCGGTGTTTTCGAGCGTCACGCCGATCTGGTAGCTGAGCTCGGGGCGCTCGTCCTTGCGCAGCTCGGGCTCCGGCTGGGCGAAGTAGTCCTCGAGGAGGTCGAGGAAGGACTCGTTGTCCGAGGGGGAGACGCGCGAGTCGTGCAGCACGAGGGCGCCGTAGGTGATGAGGGCGTTGGCGGCTTTGGCGCATTCCGCTACGACGGCGGGCGACGACGCCTCTTGGTTGAGGTAGACGTCTAGGTCGACGACGGGGAGGTTCATCTGGTCTGTCATGGTGACGGGGGTTGATCCGTTGCGGCGGTGCGGAGGAGGAAGAGGAGGCGGGCGGGAGCTGGGGATAATAAATGCCATGGTGGTGATTGGCGTAGAGGGGCGGGACATGGAACTTTTGCAGATGGTCTTGCCCCGGGTCGTCGAGGGTGTAGACTGGGGCAAAAACGGGTCTCGGAGCCGGCCGATGTGGATATCGGCATGTCAGGTCCGGGGGAGCGACAATGTGCATTGTCGGAGTGAGCAAGGAGAGGGGAATGTTTGTGTGATGGGGCCATGTTCGTTCCATTTTCTTTTCTAGAAGCACAGTGGCGTCGATCAGCCTGGGGTTCGTGGCTGAAAGTGCCCTGTTGTTCCAAAGGCGTTTGCCGTCGATGATCAAAGACAGGGATGCTAGCCGCCAGGTGGACAGCGGACACAAACGTCAACTGAAAGTGAGCCACGCCTTTGTGTCCCGACTCGATGTCTAGACTGCCCAAGTTTCCCAAACCCAGAATGTTCCATGTTTGTGCTACAAATATGATAAGCACACCGTGGACGCTTGGTCATTTATACCACAGCCCTTAATCACCAGAAAATCTACAAAAAACCATCTTTGAACTACTTCTGAACTACCTCTGAACTAACATTGAAGTTCCTCTGTAGAGTCGTGAATTCTCGGTACCTAGCTCCCAGTTCTCTTCCACGCTTCCCTGTCGTGTGTTTCTCAAATGGGACTCTGCATATTATTACATGACGCTATACTATAATACACTATAATACATAAAATGCATATACTATGCTCTAAGATATACTGGGATATACTATTGTATGCTCGAGGATCGCCTAGTATACCTTGCCGCAGCCTATTTGGCTTCTACAGCCGATCAGAAGATTGCACCAGCGCGTTATACGACGCTAGCCGTGTCTAGTGTATCTTCGACAAGAAGTCGTCCTCGAAAGGTCTTGCAACCGACACCATGCCTGATAAAGATGAGAGGATTGCGGAACTCGAAAAGTTGCTAAAGGAAGAGGAACGCAAGAGAGAGGAACAGGATCGCATCCTCGAGGAACTGCAACGCAAGAGGGAGGAAATAGAGCGCCAGAACCAAGATTCCACGCTATCAGAGTACTTGTATAACTGTCACTTTTATGTCTATTTAAAGCTCGACCTCCCACCACCGAGCCATTGCTCTCCGGGACAGGGCGCTGATACGCGTGTTCGACCTCATGATAGGGTATGGGGTTTCATATGGCTATGTCGCCGCTGGCAAGTCCTACGTTTTGCTCTACTTTAACCCAGCCGAGCCTCGGAAACTTTATTACCATCTGTGCGTGCCAGAAAGCATGGTGAGGGAAGCGGCGAACGAGAAAGACTGGTCCACGCAGATGTCCAATACCGCAGTGGCCCAACTGGCCAGCTTTTGCCTCGAGAGCCTTCAATCCGAGGCGGCCGTAGGCCCGTCATTGGAGGCGTCGATGCAGGTTGCCAAGGAACAATTGGCAATATGGGGTCGAGAGGGCTACGCATCCGAGAGCAGCGAGACAAGGACTCTTGTCCACCACGCATACAACAAGCCTACGAAGCAATACTTCACCCAGGCCTGCCTTTTTGGCCTCAAGACGGGTCGCCGTCTCGCTAGCTATTGTCCCAACGTGCAATTCCACCTTGGTGTCAATGGAAGCGCGCAGCAGCACCCGATTGACATCACCGAGTTGACTCGCCTCATCAATGAGCGGCTTCGCAGGGACCCGTACGACTACTGCGAGGCGCTGTCGCCTTGGGGCATATGCGGAAGCATCGGGGTGCTCTTCAAGCTGGAGCTGGCGCCCTACGGCTACCTATTTGTTGGCAAGGGCACCACGGCGGCGCTTTTGAGCGACCTGAAGCACGAAACAAACGTATACGAGAAGCTCCGCAGGCTTCAGGGCGACGTGGTACCCGTGCATCTGGGCTTGGTCGAGCTTACCAGCGGTTACATACTCCCCAGAGGCCTGAGAGCAGTCCATATGATGCTCATGTCTTGGGGCGGAGAAAGGGTAACTCGGGAAGGAAACTCGTCAGGTTTGTCGCCCGAGGTGCAGCGATCCGTGCAGGCTGTTCAGAACGAGGGTGTGTACCATGATGACGCGCGCGACCCCAACCTGCTCTGGAATGAGGAACTAGGCCGGGTCATGGTGATAGACTTTGACCATTCCGACATCCTGATGCCGCCTAAGCACAAGGCAGTGTCTAATCTCTCCGAGAAGGGGAGTAGAAAAGGCCAGAAACGTGCAGTTGTAAACTACCCCGGGAAAGCTAAGGTGCTGGACGGTTACCCAGAGGCTGCATAATAACTAGCAGGACCAAGCAAGTTATCTGATGATCACGCGCTATACTATAATATATGAGAGTATATTATGGTATATCATGGTGACTCCGTACACCTTAGTGTATTACGGAACTCGTGCAATGGGAAAGAACACACTATTTCTATTCCTGGTTGTCGGTTATTTTCTTTATATCATTGCTCGGAGAGACTGAATTGAGCGGTTCGTATGACAAAATCTCATTAAATAGTATCCAAGCGTTCAGCCAGCGATTTAGTCCTTACATATTGAATTTTTCACCAGTCCACAATCCAGTCTACTATACGGAATGGCACAGCACTCCTCTTATCTGCCCAGTTTCGGACAAAATGTAGTTCTGCTTCCTAGAAGCCCTTGAACCTCTCTTCTTACCAGAGGACAACGACACGAACGTCAATACTCTCCCTGGGCTCATCGCCAGCAGCGGCGCCGATTTCAGGACTAGCATGCCACGGGGCACCTGCGTGCTGGGAATCAACGCCCAGTGATGCACTATCAAAGAGCTGGACGAACAAGACCTCATCGGTCTCCTGCGCCGACACGTAGTACCACTTTGAGCAAGTGTTCGCATGCCGAGGACTCTGCTCCGGCGGCACTTCCTTCGCTTTCACGCCGAGCATGGCAAATTCCTTTAGCCAGTCGCCGCCTAGCTCCGGGGGCCCGGGGACCTTGTTCTCATATTGCCAGTGTACCATGCCGCAGTCGGCACTGACGGGCATCTCCTTTCGCGGCGAGAACGTCAGGGGGTCGCGGGCAACCTTCTTCAGGGGCCGCCAGATACTATACGCAGCGTACCTGGGTCCAAGTCGACCGCTCTCGGAGTGGTTGTACTGCTCAGCGATGAGGGAGTCTGATTCCTTGTCGGACGGTCGAAACGGGTGGTTCTGGCAGATTGTGTCCTCGGCCGCGATCATGCCTCTTTCCACGGCTGTCTTGTAGATCTCTTGGCTCTGGAAGCGGAGCGTCCGCCGTGCAGAAATCGGTGTGAAGTCGAGATGGGGGACGCGTGCTGGTGTCGACGTAGACATGCGCGGTCGAGATGACCAGTAGTCTGCCGGCTTGCTTTGCTGAGCCTGTATCGTTGGCTTCTCCTCGGCCTTTTCTGTAGAAGTTTCCTTGTCCCCCTGTTTGCTGCCGCCTGTTGCAGTCACGGACGGTAATGGCTTCAAGCCCGTTGGCATCTTGAACGGCTCTGGCGCTCTTGCACCTCGCCGAAAGACACTATGCGTAACATGGACGTATTTTGCGCCAAGAGTCTTTGCAACTAGTTCCTTGATTTCGGGGTAATACGCGCTCGCCGCAGCTTCCTCGTCTATCTCTCCCTTGTCTGTATAGCATGACTCCAGAGACGCCGAGCGGTGCTTGACGACCCCGAACCCATGACTCTTGAGATGCCCGACAGCGGTGTACCCTGGGTCAGAAAGCAATGGGCGGATATCGATTAGTGGTGAGGTTCGCGGAACAAGATCGCCCATGGGGGGAGGCGCGCCGTAGTTTCGCTGCCAAGGGTCTCCTCGCTCGGAGTTTTGGTCGACAACGGGGTGCATATACTGTCCCAGAACCTGGGTTGTGCCGTTTGTTGAGTCCATGTTGGTTTGTTGAGCGTCAATGCCGTCTTACTCGGTAGTGTATTGTTGGACTCTCTACGGCAAGCGTGACGGTGGAAACCGACGAAAATAGACCATGATGTGAGATGCACCTAAAAGGAAAACGAGCAGACAGGAATTGCCCGGATACAGCGGCACGGCTTCGTCAATCCCGACATCACTTTTGCGTATTTCGCGCTCTTGACGCTTCGGGCAACTAATCTGACTTGGACCAACACAGCGTCACATCGCAGCTGACACGGGTCTCGCATGCGACAGCTGAATGTTGACTGGGAGGACTTCGTATCTTATGAGGCAGGTTGTCAGAGACTAATGCAGGGCTTTGAGACAAGGCCCGAGATACATCTACAGTGCCGGACCTTCCTTGTCTATTTTGAGCCGTTCCACGAAGCAAAGGGCTGGTTTTTTTTTCCTGCAATCTGTCGTGAAAAAGAATTGCCTTTTGGCGTGTGGATGGTGTTGGTTCGTTTGCGTCTACTGCGCCCAAATGAGGCGGAGGCAGTGTTCACTTGGAGCGTAATCCCTCCGGGCCTTGATCGTGGCGTGGCGTGCGTCTCTATACAACTTGTATCAAGTACTTATTCTGAATGCGCGTCCCTGTCTAATTGAAGAACAACATGACAACCTATGGGAAACTGCAACCATGCTCTCGTTCCAAAAGTACAAATTGTTAGATCAGGGGCCGTCCCGTGCTTCACAAGACGACCTTGAGTTTCATCATGACGCTACATTATCGGCCCAAGAATTGGCATTGACGCGGGCCAAGAAGATCATATACGTCCTACTCTTTATGCTTGGCGTTAGTATCGTCTCAACGGCTGTGCTCTGGACCAGACAGCGGTGCTCTCTCGTCTCTCAGAGTTTCTGTAAGAAGCATAAAAGTTTTGCAGTATTTCAGAATAAGCAGCTAACTCCCCTGCTACCAGTTGATCTGGAAACCAACGTGCCAGTGCCCATTTCCCATGATGACCATACTATCGAAGACCCTGTGTGGGATTCTCCCGAGTATGACTGGTATCTAGGATGGGTCGCGCTGCAAAACGACTTTGCCAAGTCCAAGGGCTTGCCTACCGCTATGCACTGGCCCTGGGACAGCTCCAAGAGCATATATATATTGCACGGGTTTCACTCTATGCACTGCGTGGTAAGCCCTTCTCGCTCGTCCGCCTTGGCAAGCTGGATCTAACATGACAAATTCTTGCAGTTCTTGCTGCGCGACGTGATCATGCAGTACCACGACAATAAGACGCAGACATGGCCATACGGACATATAACGCACTGCCTACATGTCCTGCGCGAGGACGTAATGTGTGCCGCTGACGATACGCCGCGGTACACGGGGCGGTTGCACGCGCAAGAAAACGAAACCGTGGTTGAATCAGGGATAGGCCAAATTCGCATGTGCCGCGACTGGAACAAGCTGCGCCAGCACGCTGTTGACAACTCTGCTTGCTACTATCGTCCTAGTGATCATTATATCCCGCTGCTGGATCGCTACAAGAGGTGTCCGGATGGGAGCAAGCCGTGGGAGGAAAAGGAGTAGAAGGATGCTTGAATGAAGGGGTGATGAGTTTAGGCATTACGGAGCTTGTTTTAGTGTAGAAGCATCAGGATAGAGCTTGTATATTTGTATAGAATATAGATGTTTGTAAGTACTTACAAAGTCTCTGTGATATGAACTCTCCTGCCGCGACATCACGATTAACTAAAAGACCCAGAGAAGGGGGCAACAGGAGAAACTAGGCCTAAGATTTCAACACTCTTAGTTCCACTCAAAACCCACGTATAGCCTCTTTACATGGCCTTTACATTCGACCTGCCGTAGAAATATCTGCGTCTGTGCCATTTGTGTGGTCGTGGACCAAGGCTATGTCTATTAATTAGGGTTTTTTTTTAATCTATTCCAAGATCCTGGCAGCACTACGCCAGCACTGCGTCAAGTAGGCCTTTTATACAGACACCGTGTGCCTTCAACCAGAGAACCGTGATATACTAAAGGAACCACCACATAAACACCAATCGTATTGCGTAACAAATCCCGTGTCTATACATCTATTCAAGCTACTGTAACAGCATCAAAAACTCCGAATAACAACCCTAATCTGGAAACCATTTCTCTAACCTTAAACTCTCACACACATAAACTCCTTTTGCGTAGCGAATGACTGATCCTTGGTTGACGCCCCTCACAGATACCTCGATTTTAGCAGTTCAAAGGCCGCCCGCGATGAGATGAGATGCTTAGTCGTCTGCAACGAGGAATACATTAATTCAGTGAGCTCTCATACGAAGCGTCAATAAATTACTCACTCTTTTTACTTCTGACTTCCCAGGTGCTTTGGAGAGAGAAATCTTCTGGTGCTGGCATGGGAGCAGCTAAAGCGAGAGCAACCATGGCAAGAACTAGGAGGTAGAAGTTCATTTCTGCTTCTTCTTTTTTCTTTTTCGAAGAAATATATGTAGTTACAGGTTTGAATTTACAAGGAACGCGACTTGTCGTCTACTAGAGGCCTATATATGTTTATGTCTACCGATGACTGGGCTGAAAACCGCGTATCTTTGCTACGTCTCTGCCGAGCTCTTGGAAAGCGAGGCCACATCGAACAAGTCGTGAGTCAGATCAAACTCCTCGTGGTTTCTATATCGAACCGTGTGGATAGAAACGCCTCATGCACAGCCTAGGCCCTGCAGACAGTTTACAGTCGTCCAACGGATGTGTCGTATTGCGCTGCATGGCCCATCTTTGCCCAATCCACGCGGCAATGTAACGCTGTCTCGCGCAAGCGTCGTATCCCAAAGGGCTGTGGTAAGACAAGCTCGAGCTTCCATTCCAGTCGAGCCAATCACTATTGCTGCCGCCCAAGGCAGCGTCAGCACCGTCCGCACCCAGAGATTATGTGATGACACTCTGTGCAACCAACACATGGAGCAGCGGCTGTGGTCGCATGGGGGAAACCCCGTTCATGTAAGGATTATCCCGACATGGCACAACATCCTTCCGATGGCCTACAGGAGCACCCTAGAGAGCTCTCTCGCATGGCTTGGACCGATTTCTGACTGTGCCATGTGGTCGGGTATATGGCTGTGCTATTCCTCCTGTTTGGCCCCCATGAGCGTACCCTTCTTCCAGCTACGCAAACCACTCGTCGGATTTGACCTTTTCGTGTTTGTCTCGTGAAGTGCCCCGTCAACCATCATGGGGCTCGACGTCCAGGCAAGTGGACTCGCAGCCTTGAGCGGCGCGTTCCTGTTCCTCACCACGGGAAGCGTCGTGTTGCGCTTCGTAGCTCGCTACAAGCAGAAGGGCCGAGTCTGGGTGGACGACTACACCATGGCACTGGCATGGGTAAGCTGTAGCCTGAAATTCCGATTATACAATAGGGTCTAAGGTTTTGATACGGCTTTAGGTCGGGTTTGTTGGCCTCGCGGCCCTGTCCTTCTTCGGTCAGCATAGGCGGAATCCGGGTTTCTCTGCCTTCTATCTAGAACTAACAATGCTGTGTAGGCATATCAAGGGGCTTCTTGGGCTACACGATGCCCAAGGACAGGGCTTCGGTCCAGGCCGTGGCGTTTACGCAGGCGTGCACTCTCATTTCCTTTGATGTGCTGACCGCAATGACGTTTGGCATGACGAAGCTCAGCGCTGTATTCTTCTACCGGCGCATCTTTTGCTTTGGGCCTCATCGCGACGTGTTCAACTACGTCACCATGGTCTTCGTCTTCCTCATCTCCGCATGGACCGTGACCTTTATTGTCGTGCCCTTGAATCTCTGTGGCCCCTTGAAGAGCATCGGGTGGGATATCCGCCACGCGACGCAATGTGCCCACTATGCGTATTTCAAGGGCATTTCCGTGTCCGACTTTGTTCTAGATGTTGCGGTGCTTGTCTTGCCACTCCCCAAGGTATGATTTCCCAACTATGTAACTACAATGTAGCGGAGTTGTGACAGCTTCGGCTAACTCGCCCCAGATTTGGTCTCTCAACATGACCACAGTCCGGAAAATAGCAGTGTCCTGTGTCTTTCTCATTGCGCTCGTGTATGAAGAAGCCCCCCTCTCTTCGTCGCCAATGGAGGTGCGTAAGTGCTAATGCTGCTGTTCACGCAGCGGCTTAGGTGCAAGTACAGCGCGCTTGGTTATCATGATGCAGCTTATTCACAAAGGTAGAGCTGGGAATGCTAAAGATACCTACCGTATGTGATCAGATACCGACCCTTTTCTGCCAGTAGCGCATAGATTGGAGGCTCACGCAACAACGTCCTTGCAGAGGGCAATACCCAGATCGTGTATTACGCCATCCTCGAAGCCGCCTTTAACATCATCGCGATAAACGGGCCATCGCTATGGTACCTTGTTGCTGGGGTTCCCCCCGATCGTGTCCTGCACAGCATTCGCAGCATCGTATCTCTTGGCTCTGGCCACCGTCCCAATTCCCCCAAGAGCTCAGTAGAGCGCGCCACGCGCGACGCCGCTCTGGGCCACAAACTTGATGACACGGACTCGTCGCCGTCGAGTCCCGTCAAGGGTTGTGTCGAGACATATGCCATGGCGGATTTGGGTGCCATACCGTCTGCAAAGGGCAGCCACGGTGGCATTGTCGTTGAACGTGAATTTAGGCGCGAAATTGAGCAACGGCCTTGATCATGTATAGGGAAGAGAATGGCTGTTTCAATCTGCCGATAAATCGAATAGGAGCTCCGCCGTACTACGGATCCATTGACTATGAAAAGATAAGGCTTCTGATTGCTTGTACTTACTCTGGTAGTCTGTTAAATCGAGGGCACACAAGATGTGATGGCCAGAATACTTCTCACCCTTAGGATGTTTACCGCACTGAAGCCGCTTTGCGCAGTTCGAGCCATGTCTCAGTTTTCCCTACAGAGGTCTCTCAAATCGGAATTATTGCGTAGAACTATGGACCTGACTATTGGAGGAAATGTTCCCCGAGGAAATGGCTTATTCTGGCTTGATCAGAGCTCATCCATCCAAACAGACTCTGGTCCAGGATAAGAGTTACTACCCCAACAATAGCGCTGTAACGACTGAAAATTGCACCAAGTTTGCTTATTATATCAGCATTGGCAATTTTTCTCCGACAGATGGGCAAGTGGCCCGACGGTCAGAACGAGTTGTGATAGCGCCAAAGTGCTATTGGGATCATAATTGTCACGCAATTGAGGGCCACAAAAGACGGTGTACGATGGCGCCGAGGGCACCAATTGTATTGAATGAGAGTCGTCTGAAGAAGAAATAAAGTATGGAAATAAGCGGCATCTATCTTGTGAGCAGCTTTGTCCTTGTATCTCCGGGTTTCTAGCGAGGAAATTGAGTCCTATTTGTAGCTATCGAAGGTCTTCAAATTGAAAGTATTCGGGGCATCTGGCACCACTGCCGACTGTGAGTACCCGTAACTTTCAAGACCACGCGCACATGGGAGTTTTGAAAGGCATTGGCTAAGCGCCGTTTGTGGGCGGGCAGGCCTGCGCTATCGCCCACCAGCAGAGTTCTGGAATACTCTCGTAAAGCAAAGGCTCGCTGTAAAAGGTTCTGCAAAGGCCATTTGCTCCACAGACTTGCTCCCATATATCATTTGTTAATTTTAGATATCGGTGTAGTTTGTCCGCTAGCTGATCTCTTTGGCGACTAACTGTCAAGGAGTATAAGTATATTAATGCCAGGAGTACGGCGTAGATACTGTCACCAAAAGGGCGTCACTATAAAACCAAGGACCCTTACACACCCTTAAAGCTTAAACGTTTCAGTTAAATATTACTTCTTAAAACGTAGAAAGTGTATTAAGGTAATATTATTCTACGTATAGTATTATAATTACCTAATTTAACTATAATTTAGCTAGACTTGTAAGACGAGTGCACTCGTTAATAATGTTAAGGCTATATTTCTAGCAAATTATACCTATTACCCTACTTATTATAATTGTATCTATTATAAATAATTTATGCCTTGAAAAGGCAAAAATATTAGTTCTCAAATTATATATTAAATGTTTAAAGCCTTATATAACGGTTTTCGCGTAGTTTAAATAAACTAAAAGAAATAATAGCGATAGCTTAACGAGCCTCTACCACTATCTCCTAATCCTCCCACGTTCCGTAACCAATGCCGCGAGCTGCTTCGCATTCACGCTAGTATCTTCTTAACAATGGTTATCTATAATCGATCCGTACCAAACTATTTAGTGGACGACTGCAGACGACGGAATAGTGTGTGGATAAGCATACTAATAAGACAAGTCGCATATTTAAATCGCATTAAAGTTCACTAGATAATGATGCTACGAAATACACTTAGTATTTATATCGTATGCACATTATTAAGCTGGGGTACTCCGTAGCCTCAAAGCTGATACATCCAGGTGCCTCGTCTAACAAGCCCCCAACACCCCTAATACAACCCTCCAGCGCATGTTAAAATACGAACAATAAGATACGACATGACCAGTCGCATTACTCAAAGCATAGTTACATAAGTATAGGGGAACAAGGCAAGAGCCTCACTTGGCAAACCAACCAGGCCGATCGAAGCGCAGCAAGGAGCACATGAGGTTACATTATAAAACCAGTCCAAAATCAAGCCCCTTTTAGAGCGCTTTACCTGCCTAATCAAGCGTTTAATACATACTTCTATCTTTACTTCACGACAAAATGGGCTAGGGCAGCAAGAAATAAAGCACCATGTATTAAGCAAGCTAATGTTAGCTGCGGTACTAGTTTAGAACTGCTAGGCCTCCAAACCGGCTCACATATTAGGGGTCTTATCAAAGATGACCATTTTGGCTAACAAGGTGTCAGCGTCGGCCAATGCCGCTCGGGGGGTTCAAGACAACTCACAAACAGGAAACGGTCCCCACTTGCTCCCATTCTCAGCCAAGTACACCTTGAATGCTTCATTTACCGTTTTGCTCTTCATCTCTCCAGCGGGGCCTGGTGCTCTTCTAAGATTGCTCAGCCGGGCACACACACGTAGCATGCTGGCACCGGCAACGGTCACAATCGGGCGGCCGAGACAAGCATGAGGGCCCCAGCCGTGATGGATGTACAGGTGATCCGGCCGGTCCAGCTTGATCTCGTAGGGATCAGGAAACTTGGAAGGGTCCAGACCGGCGGTCACAAAGTCTGTGAATATGGAATCACCCTTCTTCACGGGTACAACTCGGGGGCCGTCTTTCAAGTCCATTGTATCTGCAACGACGGTTCGGAGAAGCCCAAAGGCTGGAGTGGAGAGGCGGAAGCTGTTGTTTGTACGGAGTAAGCAATGCTCTCTTGATATTATGTGGACGAAACTAGGAAACGAGACACGTACCCCTCCAAGGCGTACTTCTTCAGCTTGTCGAATGCTTCCGGCTCGTCTGACGTCGCGAGCTTCTGGATTGCAGGCCAATGAGAGCGGTACTTGTCAGACAGGTACAGGTCGATCATCTGAGCCCACTAGGCATCCAATTAATAAATCTGCAATAGTCACAGATGGATCATCATTTACTTACACCCTGCGACTGAGTAGCACTTGCAGCAGCAGCAGTGGGAATAATTGTCCACACAGCCTCGTCGACCCCTTTCCGGGACCCAAGCAGTCTCTCGACCAGTTCCGCGCCGTAGCTTTTTAGAGCTCCATCACTGGAGCGTAGTTGCAGCACATGACGCAGGGAAGGGAAGCTTTGCGCTCTGATCCCCGCAACCCTGGCTTGCATTTTCTCGCCAAGGTTTTTCGTATCTGCTTCAGCTATAATGCGATTCTTGAATGACTCGGCAGTGTCCAAGTCGAGGAAGACGTAACCGAAGAGATTAGCAAGCACATCACTCAGCTCCCTACCTGTGTAGTTGTCGGATCCTGCCCCATTTTCCTGGAGAGGAATGTCGAATAACTGCGAGACAAAATGGGCGTGGGCAAGATTTCCAATACTTTCGTTGTTAGCTCAACGTCCGGGACAGTTTCGACTCTCACGCTTACTCTCTTACAATGTCCATCTGGTGGGACTCGCCGATCTTGTGGCTATGCTGGCGAATAAGCTTGGCGGTGATGGACTCGTAAAACTGTTTCACTTCCTCGAGGCCGTTCTCCGGACTGTAGAGGCACTTCTGGACAAAATGTCTCTGTTCAGTATTCGCCGGGGCGTCTCCGCTAAGCATGTAGTCATGATGGGTCAGTTGGAACGTGTGATTGCCCCCTGCTTAGTTGTTAGTTCCTGACAGACCGGTTAAGAATTAGTTGTGAGAGAATATCTCACATGGTACATGGAAGCGCTCCTGGTCACTAAGAACATCCACCACCCCCTGCCACGTAGTTATTGGAGTCGGCCGCCCAATAAACGAAGGCTTGCCGAAGTCAAACCTCTGTGATGTGCCGAGCTTCTTGAAGGTCTCAAGGTTTGCCTCGGGCGTAGTGAAGGGATATAGCGCGTAGATGCTATTTGCGCGGTACCATCCAGGGAACGCCCGCATCAAGAGCTTGTACATCACTCCGCCTCCAGCAACGTCAAAGTCAGAACTAGTCTCCGTATATCTGCTTCCGTGTCAGAGTAGAGCACACGATAATCTTAACTCGGGTGTCTTACCCGAAGCTGGTTAGGTTCGACGGGCTGTAGTCGACCGTGAAAAACCTATCGCCACGAACGAGTGCAACAGCATCGGACAGGATCGCAAAAGAGGTGGTGAATCCAGGACACAATCCAGAGCCTGGCACCATGGGATTCTTGGTCTCTTCAGCTAGAAGCCCCGGGTAGAGTTCGACGTTGTCTGGATGTCTATATATCGCCTCCACTATTCCTTGTCAGCGTCATCCCATCAACCATATGGCCTGGAACGTATTGTCTTACGCGCTTCAGCAACAAGCGGATCCGGATTAATGCCCTCTAGGCAGAGTGAGCACGAGCCACAGTTCACATGTGCATGCATGGCTACAGACTTACTAAAAGTCGTGTATGGCTTCAGCTTGAAAAACAGCCGGAATTCATTCAACGTCGCCAAGCCCCATTGACGCCCTTGCTGTATCCCGTAAACCTCCAGGGCCTTGAAAACACGGGGAATATTTCTAGCTCCAAAGGCCCCTAGAATGAAAGAGATATTTGTAAGTACACTTGACTGGCTGGCGGCAACAAAGCCGGTTGCGGGAATACTTGCCGGAAATATTCTCGGTTCCTGCTTGCAGAAGCCGAATCAACTCAGCATCCGGAAATGTCCCATCTTCTTGTCGTATAAGGCCACCAAATGTCCAGTTCCCCGGATCCCCTGGCAGATCGGAGCTCCATTTGCGGATCCCTTGCAGGAAGTCGTCGGTGGACATGGTATCTTTTAATGGTCAGTGTTATGGAGAGGATTCTTTGCGGAGCTACGAATACTTTACCAGGATTGGCATTTGGGCCGAATACTTTCTTGAAAAAACCATTCGCCCAGGCTTCGTCCTGGCCACTCACAGCGCTGTGCCACCTGTATATCATGTTAAATTCGACACTTACTTGATTCCCAATTCCCAGAGGAGTCCCCTGTGAATCGAACACTTGACTGAAATCCTCTCGAGGGTCGAGTTTCCAGTCGGAAGGGACGGGATTCCGGTTGAGGTTTAGGATACTCCGGAGGTAGTCTGACAGGATAATATTCACATAGAGGCCACATGTGACACTGCAGAGCGCGAAATTAGGTGAATACATCCCTTAGTTCAGGGCAATAAACATACAGTCTCCCTGTCTGGAACAGATCGTTGTCGCGCTTCAGCTGTGCCTTGTCGTAATCTGGTTGGCCTTGTGTCACGCCTTCGGCAAGGCTGAAACGCCCGTCCTCGTTGATGGTTGCCAATTCTCCAACCATGTAATTGTGGAAACGATTGAAGGCAATCATCAGAGCACCAACGCCAGGAGGTTGCGTCAGAAGTCTGTCTTCGGAAAAAACATCATTCTTCAGCCGCCCGTCCTTGAAAGTCCGGACCTTGGTCTGCTCTTCTGCGTTTTTGCCGTAGAGAGGGGACAAATCAAGATATGATGAGTTCCTCAACTTGTTTATGTCTTTCTCATCGGTATGGAAGAGATATATAAGCATGTCAGCTTATCGTTGAGACTAAATAAGTTTCATATTTTTATGTACCATGGATTATGATTGTGGCAAGATAGAAAAGACAGCTTGATATTTTGCTTGGGCTCTCCCTTGCAGGGCCCTCTCGTGCCAACAGACCTACGATACGTAAGTATTCGTTGAGGATTAACGTTCACTCAGGGAGAAAAGCTTGCTTACTGTCAAAGATAAGACATGGGTCAGGAAGGATAGAAGTCCGTTTGTGTTTCGGCACAACGCTTCGAGCGTAGTGACTTCCCGCCGCGCCGAGATGAGGGTATTAAATGTTCTACGGAATTAATAAGTGAAATTCCGGATATGTCAGCATGAGGGCGGCATGAGCCTTACGTTATTAGACCCATCAGCGGTGCGGTACCTGAACTCATCTCCCAAGTACGAAAGGGGTGGGTGTCGAAGGTTGTTCCACAACCTATTTATGAACGCCGCGTTGAGGCTACCCCTGGCTGTAGAGCCGTTGGGTAGCGACGCCTCGAGTTGAATTATGTTTTCAACCTATGCAAAGTGTCACTACTCTACAGCTTAATAGCATAAAGAAGACTAAGAGCACATACGAAATACTCGCGATCATCTACTACGCCACCGGCCAAGGCCGCCTCGGTCGCGCCATGAAGAATGCGCAAATCTGGCCCGATGCGGCCAGCCTGGCTGACGATATCGTGATAGAATTGCTTGAAGAGATTGGCCAGGTTGGCCTCCACGTCTCGTGTGTTGGCCAAGCGTTTGTTTGAGGCCATTTTCTGGACTTTGGATGCTTTTGAAGACGCTATTTAGATGGTATAATAATCGCGGTTAGAGTCCAGGTTGCCGTTTTATATCCCAAACGAAGGCCCGGTGGGATATGAAGCATAAGTCAAAGAAGGCATAAGGCAAGCCGTGTGCAGATGTCGGTTGTGATTAAATCATGAAATCATATCGTCCTCCCAGACCTGTTTCTGTTTCACATGCTAAACTTAATCTTTCAGAGAAGGGAAATGTTCACAAAATGGCTAATCGAATAAATTGTAAGCCACTTATCTAGTTTTACCCTACCTAGGCATCTTAAGATATCAGCAAAACAAACCTTGGCGTATAATATATGCGTCACCGGGAAGTTTCACCACGCCCCATCGTCCGACCAACTTTCTGCCGGATTGATGGAAACAACCTCTAGACCCGATATTCTGTCGCCGTTTGACAAAGCTGAATCCGAGCCTCACGCCATCTTAACTTCCAACTCAAGTAGCTGTGTGGCGTCAATGCGAAAGGTTATTCCTCGTATCGTTTTGCTGCATCTCATGTATTGACGAGTGGATAAACGGGTTAAGTGTCTGGGTGGGATCACAATAGCAGAATAACAGCTAAGGTCGAGCAGTAGTCTAGTTATTAACCAATTACCGGTTAGAGCCTTCTTAGACAGCTATATTAAGCTTTAAATCCCCCAGTTATTCTCCTTTTATATACCTTTTTCTTTATATACTAATTACGAACTTGCTATGAAATAGTTACCTTATATAAATGCATATTTAACTGATCGTCTCACTTTTAGGGCCGTGCGCTGGTTCCTCCAGATTCGTCTACGACATTAAGCCTCTGACGTATCTGACACTTATGTATCACGGCGATAGTGTTTAATGGCTGCACCCCCTCAACCACAATTATCAGCAAACTCCATATATTTGAGGGTCAATATCAGCCCCCTAAGTTACCACTACACTACACCCAATGGCAAAGGAAAGATCGGATATGCTGCCCTCCATGGGTGAAGCCACACAACTGAACCTTGATCCAACATAACCCTAATCTCACATGTCTCTGCATCGTTATCCTTCGATCAAAGGCTAACTAAGGTAACGGATAATTCCGATTTATTGACATAGTTACGTCAAATAACTATGGGAATGCAGGCCCTAGAAAAGAAATGCTTGTCAAACCAAAGCAGAAATGAGAAGAACCCTCGGAATGCCAAAATTAGAATTCAACTTTACTGCTACTTGTCTCTCCTATTGGTTCAGTTTATTGTGCCAAAACTTGCATGGTGTACTAAAATCTATGAAAATGCTTTTATGTAACTAGTTTAGTAAAGACTGTCCCTAAAAAGGGCCAAGTTGTCACGCGTCAGTGTGGCAAATCATAACAGTACTGCGACACTTTTCTGGGCTTGAAGAAGATAAAAGACAGCCTCGCAGGCCAACAGTGTCTACTGTCTACTTCTTCCTCACTGTCAGTAGTGATTCAGATGCTTCCTACCATGCCGCACGAGAAATTCAAACTCGCAAGCTACAAGCGCATTATTGTCTGCGCAGACGGCACGTGGCTTTCGTCCGACCAAGGCGATAAGTCGGTACCTTCTAACGTCGCTAAGATTACTCGAGCAATTTCCAAGACTGGTATTGACGCCAATAACAATCTCGTGAAGCAGATAGTCTTCTACCAGCCAGGCCTTGGAACTGGAGACCTCTTAATCCAGAAAGCCATATACGGTGAGAGCTTGGCTCGAATTTGCCTTCCCACTTCCCTCCAACAGATTTACTCATGTGTGTTTCTCTCACAGGTGCTATCGGTCAGGGTCTTGATACTGAGGTGCTTCAACTCTATGATTTCATCTCTAACAACTACGAGCCTGGTGATGAGCTGTTCTTCTTCGGATTCTCTCGCGGCGCATTTACTGTGCGCTCGGCTGCCGGCATTGTGTCTGATGTCGGTGTCTTCTCGCCAGTAAACATGCCGCAGTTCCCGGAGATGTGGAGGGCGTACCGCGAGAATAGAGGCGGAGAACCTTTCAGGAATTCAGCGTGGTATAGGGATAATAAAGAGAAGCTGGGTTTGACAGAGGTTACAATCAAGGTTGTCGGTGTTTGGGATACGGTTGGAGCCTTGGTAGGTGCCGCAGACTGTGCTGATTTGCAACCCGCTTCACTAACGTTTGCACGTCTAGGGAATTCCGAAATGGCCGTGGGTGGATTTAGCAAGGAGATTTGGCATTCCAATCAACCAGCAGTACGCATTTCACAATACAAGAGTTTCACAAAGTGAGCATCAGGGAAAGAGTGTCGGTCGAGGCAAAGGGGAAAGCTGAACCATGCCCAGATCTGGAATACGCCTTCCAAGCCCTCGCCATCAATGAAAAGCGAACTCCTTTCATTCCTAGCCTCTGGCACAAGACGGACGATGGCCCTGCCAAAGATCTCCAACAATGCTGGTTTCCCGGCGTCCACGGCAATATCGGCGGCCAAGCAGAGGACCCACGTTCCGTTGGTGACCACGAAGAAATCGGCTATAACTCGTTTGCGTGGATGGTGAGAATTTCTTTCTTTCTTTTTCTTTTTCTTTTTTTTTAAAAAAAAACCCCACTGATCTGCGCTGTTGGCTTATCGGAAACCTTTTTAGGCTAACTTTCCGGGCCCTAGGTAGATAATCTCTCGGGTATGCTCACCTTCGATGCTGCTACAATCCAGATTATGATCGAGGAGCACCAGGACGCGGTAAATAGAATCGAAGCCAACCAGAGCATCACCAATGGTTGGGGCTGCGGGCCGATCGTCTCGGACTTCGCCGGGTTGCAGGGTGCTTTCTTCCGTCTCCTCGGGAGAACAGACCGGAAGCCTGGCAGATATCCGCGAGACCCGAGCGACGACTCTGTTGGCGCCACAAATGAGTTCTTCCACCCGATGGTGCGAATTCGCAAGCGCACGCTACAGGATTACAATCCCATAGCCCTACAGGGATATGCGCTGCAGCAATCCAATGGTGGCCAGGGGTGGGAGTGGGCAGGGGCCGGCGTAGAGGCTGTGCCGGAGTATATACTTCGCCCGAAACCTATGAGCCTAGCGTACGAGGACGGCGGGAGCATAAGGTTTAGTTCTCGGAATAGCTTATCAAGATCGATGTGTCCGGCAGATCTCTTGTTGGAAATGGACAGGGTTAATGGCATACTTGGGCAAAGTTAGATAACTGTAGTATAGCCCTAGACTACACAATAGTTATAGTGCAGTGGGATGACAAAAGTAACGGAGATTTGCGCGTTAACACGTCTTTGAGTTTCAAGTTTAAGAGGTATAAACTTGGTGTAATTTCCATCTGTTATAACGTCGGTTACCTTGACTAAACTTGGCCGGCCCCTGCTTCGGATTTGTTAATAGAGGCAGTATTTTGGTGACTTGAAGGAAGCTTCCAGGACTAGTGGTACAAGTTGGAAGAAGTGGACCAACGCAAGAAGTAGTTCCCCTACTATCCGGAGATAAGATCGTTTAGGTTACGAAAGGCTTGTATGAGACGGATATTAGCGCTTTTTGGGCTATTCGGTAGTGTGGTTTTGAAGAGTAGTAGTACCTAATTTATAAGAATAATCTTATAATTATAAACGAATAAGTTAAGCGAGTTATAGGTTATAAGTTTATTTAAAAAGATAATAATATAACTCTTAGATTTAGTAACCGCTTTTTATCTCCTTTAAAGGTATATCTAAACCTTTAAAAAGAACCTACTAATAAATTCTATTTCTTTTATCTCTTTAAATAGCTGGGGGGGGGATCCCACCAGATTGCATATGAGTACTTCAAACTTAAGAATATGACATTTAATAGACAGCCTGCCTAGCACATACGACCATAGCCGTTAGCAAAGTTCAGGGCCTCGTCCGATCCCCCACGACAACCTAACGAGCGCCGGATTAGTAGTTGGGTCGGTGACGACCAGCGAATACCCGGTGTTGTATGTTTTTTTTTTTTTGGTTTTCATCTTTGCACATGCCTATCCGGCGACAGGCTAGTAGTATATACATGGGTAGGCAGGACCACTGGCCCGAAAAGTTTGCCGAAGACGATTGCGTGTGGTTCGGCTGCCCATGTAGACTCGCTGGGCGTTTTGCACTTGTGGTGTGTTGCCGCAGAGGCCGGCTGCTAACACGTCACCGGGTGAGTGGAGATTTACAATGCTAAAGGGTCAATGGTGTCATTCCGGTTGGTTCAATGTTCCAACTCCGGACAAGAACAAGACTGTATTGTGGCACACACAAAGGACATGCTATTAATCTGCTGCCCCAAAATCTCGTGCCGCCTCACCACGGCCTTTTCAACGTGGAGGGCATGTCCGTTTGTTCTGATTCACCAGAATAAGATCATGGCTTAGTCATTCGCAGTCGCTAGCCGCGACCGCATTTCAGATACATGTCTACCACTGCCACAACTGTGTAGGTGAGAAATTCAGCACTATAGATGATCTTTGGTCCGAGGCGTCTTCTGTTAAACCCAGGCACAAGATGTTTTCCACACCGACACTATTTGCGCCACGTTAGCTGACCAACAGTACTTGACGTTACGATGTGAGGGCGCCTCACCCAACAGTACTCACACACCGCGTCTATTTTGTCTCAACGCAGTCACAGCAGTCCAGGGCCCGATATGTCTGATGGAGTCAACAGTAAAATAAGGAGGGTTTGGGTGTAGGCATTGTGTCATTTCCGGCTTTTGCATGCAAAGCGAGCCATTGACGCTCTCCCTACGTCTTGCTGCGCATGCGGAGATGCAGCTCAGCTAATGTCCACGCAAAGTAGTTGCCGTCGACAATGCTGGTTAGTACGGAAGTAGGATAGGGAGATTCTTCTTGTCTATCGCAACACAAGATACATGTTACCAGCCCAACACGTCCTACAAGTCGCGCTCATAAATGATGTTTGTTGCGTAACCCTAGTGCCTGTAAGGTCAGATCCAGTTGACACAAGCAAGACCATTCCCTCTTCCTATAAAATAGAGATGTAGCTGCCCTTACTTTCGCATAATACCGCCCCCAGTGCGTGCCAACGGCGCAATTGAACCGTTCGCCCTTGTTTTTGTAACGGTGAGCAACTCGTGACCAAGGCTGACCAACCTGGGGCCCTGGACAGCGCAGTATTGATGATCCCATGCTTTTACTTGCTGCATAGAGTCGAGGAGGTGTGCCTAATACTCCAATAGACCGAAAGATTCGCCGCGCAAGCAGCCGCTTGCATTGTATCTTGCGCCCGTGAACAAAGAGCAAGTCGAGTGCAGTTCGACCCAAGTGCCTGCTAGCAATTGGGAGGTTTGGCAAGTAGCATCATCGTGAATCGTTGCCTCCACTTGTACTGGACCATCACAAGAGTTCCAAATACCGAGATCCGGCCATTGCCGCCCACCATGGTTCACTTTGACTTTCGACTGCCAACAACTAACCAAAGCCATGAGGGAATACTGTCTTTACGTTGTCATTATCCACGTTCATTCCGGATATCGGTCGCAAAGAATGTCGAAACTACTGTGGTGTTAGTCTGCACTGTAATTGTTAGCCTTGGCATATAACCTGCCAGCGTTTACTCACAATGCTTCACCTAAGTAATATATCTGCAAGAACATGGCTTTCCGCATCCAGCTTCACTGGCTCTCTCATTCGTGGGCTTGATCTCGCGGCAATAAATGCTTGATTGCTGCTTTAAACAATTGTAGCCAGTGAATGAGAAACCGCCATCACTGTAAGAGAAGTTTTCTCCTTTTGTTGTAATCCAATTTGCCAAGTAGTCCCAACAAGGGAAGGAGTCTTCGAATTACTAGACAGGGGCAAGACAAAATCACTGTTAATAGTAGTTGGCAATCTGCGAGCCAGTCGCTGTGGTTCACTGCCAAGCGTTCACCATTCCCGGACGCGATAGAGTGAGTCACGGCTTGTTTTCGAAACTTGTATAAGAAAATAGGTTACCAAGCCGTCGAGGCAAGCCCCCTTTGCCAGCTTAATATACACAGACGACTGGATTTCGCTCCGCCTTACATCTCCGCACCGACCGTATGCATGATCTTCAATCCCGCGTCTTCCATTGCCTACGAACTCTTGGCAGCACGCTCCGCCTCCAACTCCCGCTCCGCTTGCTGATAGTATTTGGCTGTGTCCACGCCGTGCTGATTATGGTTGACAAAATTGAACCACGGTACAGTGCTGAAGAACAGCGCAGAGTATCTGCTTTGTCGGGCTGCAACACCTTGCAGATATGGGCTCAGTCTGCTTTCACCGTACAGAGACTCGCCGGCCTTGACCTTGGCCACCATTTCTCGCATATCCATCTCGATCTCGCGGGCGTTTTCGGTAGCGCCGTAGAATCGCACTGCCATCTCGTCACGTTAGCTTTCATGAAAATCTCCTCCATTCACTTGCCTGCAATAGATGCAATGTTGGGTCAACGTACGACATGATCGCTGGTAAAAGTAGAGGAAACCACCAGCAATACCAACAGCGCCAGCTAATCGCATAGCTTTGGCAAAGCCACCCTTACCGACGTATGAGGGGGCAAACTTCTCGAGGGCGTAGAGGGCGCCGGGGGCAAATGCAGCTGCTGCACCGCCAGCAATGTAGTCGGACGTTCGTGCATATCCAACAACTCGCTTGAAGTGACTGGTTTCCTCAAATTAGCACGTCTTCTCCCTCCCCAAAAATGACGTATCAAAAATGCGAGACAATTCTCTCAATATCTCAAGCCCACTGAATATTCAAAAGGTCGATTTCGGGTAAAAGGAGCACCAAAACATACGGGTCGTTATCGATGAGCTGGATTCCGGTTAGCATTTCCCTCCCGATTGAATCAATTGCGTCCCGACATACCGGGTAATCCGTCTGGACGACCTTGCTCGTCCCGACATAGGTCGAAGGCGCCTGCTTGGTCGCGGTTTCGGCCATTTTGCGAATGGTTTTCACGCCCCAAAAACTTATCAATTGGCTCAAGAAGATTCCCAGCAAGCATGACAGTCCCGAAGCTCTGAAGCCGAAGTCGTGCCCCAGGAAGAAAATCACGTGGTGCTGACTACTCAAATCACGTGGATTGTGATTCGCTGAAGGGGGGTACGTACCGCCACAAGCTTGAGGACCCACGAAGCGCGTCTCCCACCAGAAGACGCGTTAAGAGGAAGACGGGCTTCACGATATGTGGTAGACTGGAATTAATTCTCACTACCAACCATCATGTCGACATTGCTTTCAGCCGGTCAATTGCCGCCCAATTGCCACGATGATTTGGACAAGTACGACTTATCAGACGATCCATTCGCGTCACCCAGCCCGCCACCCTCAGCAAAGAAGCGCAAGGAGCCCCCTTCACAAGGCCTAGGTATAGACGAGGAGGTTTCCGTTCAGAAACGCGCAAGAGCTCCGATCGTGAAGCTCGATGAGAACAGGTACTGCATCCTTCTTCTCTCAAAAGCCTTACCCGTGTTTCTCCCACAAGACACTTGAGAACAAGTAGCTAATAGTCACGCCCAGATTATTAGGTCCCGCCGGGCTGCCCAAACTTCGCCAACGAGCACGCGAATTGAAAATCAAAGGCAAGGGGCACGAATTCTCAGACGCAGCACGCCTCTTATCATTCTACCAGATGTGGCTAGACGACTTATTCCCCAAAGCCAAGTTTCTCGATGCACTAGCCATGGTGGAAAAAGCAGGACACAAGAAACGCGTCATAACGGCCAGGTCCGAGATGATCAACGAGCTCAAACCAAACGATACAATAGAAGAGGTCGACTCTGGCTTGGGTGCCGCCGGTTCTATGGAACCTGTTGAGAACGGACCGTCCAAAGGCACACGGCCGCAAACACCATCACAGGACGACGTACCGGATGATGAGGACCTGTATGGAGCGACACCAAGGATTACGCGTACGCAGCAGAACGAACCAGATGATGGGGACGACTTGGATGCGCTTATTGCCGAGTCGGAAGGGCAAGGCAGCATGCAGAAATTTCAGGTAGTCGATGACCACGACGAGGACGATTTGAATGCTCTAATTATGGAAGCAGAGACTGCGGATCAAGGAAAGGCGTTGCAGAAACCGATAACTGGCAACAATGATGATTTTGCAGATGAGGAGGCTGCTATGCAGGAAATGGATGGTGTATGGTAATAGAGCTTTGAATGAGCAGTTACGGTGCTTAT